CTGACCCATGCGATGGTGGAGCCATCTATGAAAAGTCACGCGAACTTAACGCTACGTCTCCAACGCCAGGTCACCTGATGCTGATGCGTCTCGGTTGGGTCGGTAACCACCGCGACCGCCGGGCGTCCGCTCAGCGCGGGGCACCGGCGCGCATGCCGGTGATCTGAAAACGACAAAGGACGGCTGCCGGCGGAACTCCACCCCGCAGTCAACTAGCTGTCATCCTCCCACGCCTCACTTCACAGCAGGCTCAACACGCCCTCAAACAAGAGGACTCTGGAGGCGGCACCACCTCCTTCCAACGGGAGCAGGGGAACGTCGGCGGTCAGGAGCGCCAGTGGCCGAGATCTCGCTCTGGAGTGAGGATAGGCCACATCAGTCACTCGTCCCGAAGGCTGACCTGGTCAACAATCTCCTCGAAACAGAGCGCCTCGACCTGCTCTGCGTCTCTGAAACTTGGCTGACGCCCGAAATGTTGCCACGTCTTCTAGTGTTTCCGGGCTATGTCATGCTTAGACAAGACGGGACTTCTTCGACTCAAGGCCAGCGAGTCAGAGGCGAAGGAGTAGCAATCATTCACAAGCAAGATATCTGCTATTTGGTGCTGCAGACCCCAGCGACCAGCGCGCTGGAGACACTGTGGCCTATCCAAAGCATGGCGAGACGGCAGACCGTTTAGCACGGGAATCGTCTATCGTTTCCCAGCCGGTTCCGTCTGCCAGGCTGTGGAGGAGCTACAAGGGCAGCTACAAAAGGTCGTTCTTACTTGGCAACTTGGATATAAACATGCTCAATGCAGAGGCTGCTGATGTACGGTGTTACAATGTTGCTCTATCTGAGCTAAGCCTGATCCAGATGATCGATCGGCCGACACATCTGCTGACGACTCCAACAGCACTAGATAACATCATAACCAACGTCAAAGTCTCGATGTACGGAGCAGAAGTGCTCAGAAAAATCAGTGATCACTAGCTAGGCGCCGTCAACGCTGCCTATCGGCCGGCTCCGGAAGCTGTCCACGAAGTGTACAGCTCGGAGCTGGGGACGCGTAGACCAACACGCAGTTTGCTTGGGCTTTCTGCCGGCCGATTGGTCCGCTCTCGACACCACCGATGACATAAACAAAATGATCGAGACCTTCACGAAGATATGGTGGGTGGTCATAGACCGGCACTGTCCAGCCCGTATCATACGGTGCCGACGGGGCTGCCCTCGGCTTGTAAACAGTCCTGAGCTGCGCCAAGTCATGTGTAAGCGTGACCAAACGTACCGTGTCTGGCTAGATCTGCACACACCGGTGTCTGGCGCGGTCTTCTGTCGTCTCCGAAACCCAATCAAGGATCAGCAAGCGCAGGCTCGCAGAGAATCGTTTCTCAGCCGTCATCTCTTGTCTTCCAACGGCCAAGATTTCTGGTCCAACCTGAATAATTTTTTCCTGACGCCTTCCGGCTCAGCAACTACAGCCCAAACCACCAGCGAGGCTGAGCAACGTACCAGGCCGGACCGTTCCAACGAGTCCTTTTCGTCGGTAGGCTCGCGAATCGCGGCTGACCAGAGCGATGACGTCACAGCCGATCCGGACCCTCGACCGCCCATCACCGTCTCGGCGCCGTTTCAACTCCAGCAAGAGCCGTGTTTCAGCTTCGGAGCTGTGAGACCCACGAACTCGTCAGGAGTGGTCGGTTTGGACGGGGTGCTGCTGAGGCAGTTAAGCGCTGCTTCGCAGCGATAGGCCCCCATCTGCTGCGCATTGTATCAACGTGTCTGTGACGAAGGGCATCTCCCCTAAGTGTAGAAAACTGCCAAGGTGGTCCCCATCTGTCAAGAGAAGGGCGATGTGCACGAGCCTTCTAGCTATCGCCCGATCTCCCGTCTGTCTAACTTGTCTAAAATTACTGAGAAAATTTCTGTGATCAGCTCTCCCGGTATCTGTATGACCACAACATTTTAGTTCATGATCAATATGCGTACAGGTCTTGTCACTGCACCGAGGACGCCGTGCTCGGCGCTGTCGAATGAATAAGCCAAAACTTAGAATGCGGCGCGATTTCCTCAGTAACCGCCGCCGACCTCAGCGAAACCTTCTACAGCGTTGACCATGGCGTCCTCTTAAACAAGATGGGGTGGTGCAGGATCGACCCAGTATGGTTCCGCAACTACCTAGACGGCCGGGGGAAGCTGGTAAGAGGCGGTGCGGCGACTCTGCCGGTCTATTTCGGGGTGCCCCAAGGGTCTATCACCGGGCCGATCCTCTTCAGCCTGTTTATGAACGACCTTCACTGCCACTTATTGGGCTGTCGAGTGATGGCATCGCCGACGACACCCGGCTGTTCGATCACTCTGCACCCGACCCTCCATAGCTAGAATCACCGAAACGTCGTGTTTCTGAAACATTACAGCACTGGTCCAAATAAAATTAATTAAAGATGAGCCCCCAAAAAACAGACTTGACCTTAATCGGACTCTGTCAAAACTCCAACAAAGCTAAAGACCTAAGTATACCTGGGTCGGTTACCAAACCCCAGTCGTCTATAGGACCACTGGGTGTGATCTTCAGCCCATGCATGTCCCGGGACATCCACATCGGTCACATCGTAAAAAGGTGTAACATCCTTCTGGTATCACTGCATCGGCTCTTCCACAACTTTATCCAGAAAATGTTAAAATTGCTGATCGAAACACACGTATTTACCCACATTCTACACTGCGTCTTCGTGTAGGGCGGAACGACAAAAAATAAGCTAGCTCGGGTTAAGAAGATAATAAGCTAAGTGCTCAGATCGTGCCTGGCGTGCGGCGTTGGGAGAGGGTCAGCCCGGAGCTAACGTCCCTGGATTGGGCCCAAGCGGAGCAGCTGGTGCGGGAGAGAGATCTCCTTAAAGTGATAAAGTATTTCATGACCATCTCAGCTCGCTGACGATTCGTCGCATGTTTGTCTCTCGATCCGCGGTGTCTCGCCGGGCCTCCCGCTCATCCGAGGCTGGAGCTCTGGAGATGCCGAGCTGCAAGTATCGACCACATGGAAGGGGCTTCGTTGCCGTGCTGCCGCCTCGCGAAGCCAGCTGCCTCCGGCCGCCACTGAGCGTCCGACGCTATCCGCGTTTCGCGCGTCGACGAGGGTACTGGGGGCTTGAGAGTCGCTCGCTCTGTTCTTGACTGCATTGGCTTTTGAAAAATTCCACTAACAAGTTTTACTTCCTATGCGTATATGTGCCTGCGGATTGCTCCCCTCACAATATTGCCGCTATCTTGCCATGGGTGCATTCGGTTTTATCCTACCTGCTGTTCTATACCTTGTACATGACGACACCAATTCTGAAAAAACATACTGCATGAATGGGGTAAAGATTCAGCACAGTGCGATACATGGCTTCTTGAAAATAACAGATTAATAGGTTCGATGACATATTTCAAATAAATCATGAATCATTTGTTCCAAAAAGAAAGGTATCAAGCAATCTTTTAAAGCTATCACATTTGACCCAGCCTATGTCTGTGACCTGAACTACAATGTCTTTAAAATTGCCGATAATATGCAAATATGGGGCAAAGCGGAGCATGTCCACCCTAGCCAAGAAGCATACAGAAAGTACGAGGGGATTTCGTAGGAGTGTTGTTCAAATTCACTGGATTCCGCAGAAGTTTGATCCAAATTCGTTGGATTTCGGGCGAAATTTGACATAGGTCAACGTGAGAGAGGCCTTGGCTACGTGCCCGCGGCAATGGTACTTGAAGATTTCGCGGACACTACGTCAGTTTATTTTCACCGCGTGCTTTCATATCTTGGACGGGATAACAAATGTCCTCAACAGTCGGGCACGAGTTTCAACCTGAGCTACCTGTGAAGTCACATGATTGTTTACATATTCTGTTTTTTAGGGTATCTGAACCTTTTTGATTGGATGGATCTCTGAGATTCGACCTCACGCTAAGCAGTGCTTGTTGGGTGACCCCTAACCCCTGTCACCTGATCGTCCAATGTCAGGTCAACGGAAAAAGTTGCTGGCGAAAAACTTCCATACCGCAAGGCACGGTACGGTCCGTCCTGCCACCTGGCGCCAGCTCGTCAGAAGCGCCAATGGGTAGCGCCACCAGAGCGGCAAGAGATCAACCGTCCCTCGTCCTTTGGCAAAAAGGCAAATGCATCCTCCAGTCCGTTCTCCGCAATGTGAAGCTAAACGCGCGGGAACAGATACCTGCCATCATCACACTTGGTCTTCTTTTCATGACCCTGCCCACCAGTGTAGCCAAAGCTAAATGCAGTTTCAGCGCGCGTCAGGGGCTAGAACTTGCTTCGCTTAATGATGACACGGGGGAGGATCAACGCAGCGGCAGTGCGCCACGTATATCACCTTCGCCCCTGGATCGAGTGGATCCAGCTGGTGCTGCAGTCCCTTTTGCCAGTTCAAATGCATCACGTCAGAGGAAGCTTGGCTGCGCTTAGGGCCGCACCATAAACGGTATTGGTACAGACCTGGAAGGAGCGTGTGGGCTGTGTTATCCTCAAGCAGCGTGTCGTTAAGCTGCTTTTATCGCCACCATGATAAGAGCCTCGTCTACGTTCTGTTATTTGTTCACATAAGCTAGCAAATAACATTTAGAATCGGGCGTCCGAGCCAAAGTGTAGTTGCGGGGCACAGTTACATAAAATATTATCCCGCCAAGCTTTCGCATTGGACATATCTACGTTTAGACACTGATAGATGATAGGCCCCTTTGGTCTCAATGATAACAGTGCATTGTGCTAAGAAACAAAAACTACGAAAATGTGATAAGATTTCCGCCAACATGGGAGAGCGAACGTCCTTGGGAAAGAAAGGTGTGAAAGATAGTAGCTTGGATTACTTCTTTACAGTCAATACCCACAGGGCCAATGCTAAATATTCAGAGAGTTGGCGGTCTTAGCCCGTGCCTGATCCCCGCTCCGCGCCTCATGCCTTACCGTAGTGTCGCGTGATGGTCATTTACGAGAACGCCAGCTATTAAAGGCATGATTCCTGAACCATTTTTTATTCAAGCTTCGTTGTGATTATGATCTCATCACCCTCCCCCTATCAAAAGGCTGTGGGGCCGCCCTTGTCCATGTGGCATGGCCTACACGATAAAGACGTTTGGGTTCTTGATTACTGGGCGTTCGATTGTATTTCGCATGCATTGATGGGCCCAAGTATTTCTGTTTGTTATTTGCCTCCACATACAGGCCAATATTTTGAGTAAGTAGCTGTACTCAAATCTGGTGGCACATTGTCTCACATTTGCCTAATTTGCTCAAGCCTTAGACGGGTTCCATCGCCAGCCACCATATTCATCGTGCCTCAGCCCTTTCTTAAATCCTGTCGCCTGCCCATTTCACTTGGTTTTCGTTACATTTGGGGTGACAAAAACACTTGAACTTTTCCACACCTCCGACATAAAAGTTGGAACTCACGCGAAAAGGACACTGCGTGCAGAGGTGTCACTTTCTAAAATCAGTGGGCAGGGGAGCGAATCAGAATGGTTGACCCTCTTACTTACCCCAAAAATTGATTTCGTCTGGGATGTCAGCCGCTTAAATTTGTGCCTTCGACGTTAAAACTAATTTTTAAAATGTTTCTTGACTCAAAATTGTTTTCCTGTAGAGGAATGACATTCCATTTTAATTGAATGAGTGCTGCCTTTGTCGACAAGTTTAGACATAATTCCACAAAAAGCATCGTAGTAAATCTTAGTGAGGAATTACTAATGACTAACGCTGGTGCTGATAGCAGCCACGATTATGCCACAATCGCGCTTGCATCTTTTGGGGAAAACGCGCTAACTTTTATTTGGCCACCCTCTTCTTTCAAAAGCTTTAGTTGTTGTTTGGATGTTTGGATTCGAGCCCTTTCGACCAGAAGTGACCATTTTAGGGCTATGGGACGAACGGAAATGATTAACGGTGAGGCATGTGGGGCAACGGCGAAGCATGCGCCTGTGGGCCAACCACCGGGCTTTTACCTGCGCATGTGCGCTGGGCACCGAGTTGGGGTTCCCTTCCCACGGGGCTCTCGGCCCACTCGTGGCTGACACATGCAGCCTGCCACGGTCAAGCGAGGTGTCGCTGGAATGAGGCATGAAACAGGATGGGGCAGAAGAGGCTCAAATTATTTCAAAAGCCTTTTTTAATTATAGCCCTTTCAATCAGAGGTGATCGTTTCAGGACTATGGGATGAAGGTGAATGGTAAACGGTGAGGTTGACTTGCATACTTGGGAGATCAACTACCGAACTTTAAACCGCGCATGCGCTCTGGGCACCCGGCTCACGGTTGGGGTCTCCCTTCCCACGGGTCCCCCTTCCCCTCGTGGCTGACGCATGCAGCCTGCTCTGCACAAGCGGGGTGGCGCGTGGATGGAAGGTGAAGTAGGATATAGGATAAGAGGAAGGATGATTTCAACAGCTGCTGCATATCGCAATCAATCGATCTTTATCTCAATCAAAAGCCTTGTCATTTGCATGCTGGCGCAACATATGAAGGAGTTAATGTGTCAAAAACATCACAGGTTGGCATTAAGGGGGCTCGGGCCCGAAAGTTTATGAAGTGACTCCTCTGATTGTAAGGGAAGTCTTGCGAGTTGCCGGTTGCTGTCAGATTTGCTTCACTCGTGGTAGGCAGAGCCATCTGCTGCTCATATCACAAACCTTAGCTTCGTCGCCGGCCACGTGCCGACCATATCTGGCTGCAATTAGTAACGCTCTCGCGGGGTGCCGTCAGTGCACAAGCCGACGGACCAACGTTTTTAGAGCGGCATAGCATGCAACAAAACGCAACAATTTGCATCCTTTACGAAAACGTAACACGTGGGGCGTCTTTAAAAAAGCCAGCGCATAACCTGGCATGCACTCGGGCCGCAGCCGAGCAGCAGCGCAACCCAGCAGCGGCATCACTCAGCTTCCTGCATTGAGAGCATCCCCGCTGACACAGTGCTGGTCTGTTCCCCACACCTCCGACAGTCTGACTGCTTTCGTCGGCTGCTCTTGGCTGAGGTAGGCGCAGAGATCACATACTTTATCGTCAAATCGCACGCGGTAGCTGCTCCTCCACGCGAAGTAGCTTTCGTACGCGGTGCGGTTGTGCATGAGTGAGCTGAGGTAGGCCGCCAGCCCGCTAACGCTCTGGAAATCCTGCACGTGGATGAAGGAGTGGGGCGGCGCGACGCGTTGGTACGCCTCTGGTGGCGGGCCGCGCACCACCGGCACCAGGCCCGCACGCAGAGCCAGCCAGAACTTCTCCGTGATGTAGTCCTCGCACAGACTGTTTTCGAACGACAGGTAGAAGAAGTGCGTGGCAGCTACGCTCCGGTAACAGTCGATCCTCGGGGCGGACTTTCTTTTGTCACTGGGACACCTGAGTGTCCCACATTTGCCGTAGATGTCCACCTGCAGGGAGCGAGCGAGCTTCTTGACGTACACCTCCCGTTTCGAGTGGGATGGACAGTGGGAAACCACCCAGGCGGCGGCCACCTTCCTGCGGGCACCCATGCACGACAAGCTGAGTCATCAGTCATAGTGCTGAAAGTAAGGGCTACATGTCATCAGCCATAGTGCTGAAAACAAGAGCAGCATGTCATCAGTCATAAGTGCTGAAAGTACGCGGGCCTAATTCCAAGAGTTTGCGGTCTGTAACACTGTGCAACATGTGACCCTCCGTGCGAGGCTGCGGGATGAATTAGTTGGCTCAAGCAGGATTCAAATAGTCATGCATGCTCTGCAGTGGGTTTAGCTGAAACCGATCTCGATGAAAAAAAGAGAACCCACCCCAGCACTCACACGGAAGGTATGACTGGGAACTGGGAAGTCTGCCGCGATTTGGCCAACTGGGAAGCCTACCACGATCTGAGACGTCGCTTGCGCCGACAACAAGCCGACGACAAGATTGCCTACTTCACTTCATCCATGGAGAGCCCTAGCAACATGTGCCCCCATGGCCACATGGCATGACGCCATGAAAACATGGCCCCATGTGGTAAGAATGTACCTGCTGCAGAAAAAAAATGTTTTAGCATCGCCAACACACCGTAAACCGTCATATGAGAAGCAGGCAGTCTTTGCTGACAAGCAAAACCAGCGCTTCTAGACCACGTCGAGCCGCATAGCTGCCACCATGCGGTAAGAGCCCGAGCTACACGACCCCAGCGCCGCCACCGTTCAGCCGCTACTGCCACTTGTAGTGAGAACAGCTTTCAAAACGCGGCTGGCAACACTCCCCGAGCTGTCTCACGCTTTCAGGGAGGATGACAAACATCAAGGTCAGTGGCGATGGCGGTGTGCCTCTTCAGCTGCCACTCCTCTGAATCCAGGCGTCACGTGATATGTTTGCAGTTGCACCGCCCACATTGCTGGTTAGTGAACATGTAAACTATAGACGCTGTTTATGAAATTCTATACGAGGCACAATGCGGAAAGGTACAAATGCGTGCGTTTGAATCATGGCTTATCTGTCTGGCATGTGCGCACACAGCATAGGTGTTTTACTAATCATACTGTGATTTGTTCTAATTTACGTAGTTAAACCCTTAAGTTTCATTTTCATTCGTGGGCGTACTTTCCATCCATATGATAGCCGGTGAAATCCGCAAAACGGAGCAATACTCAGAATATAAGTTACAAAACGCACGAACGCTGAAGGAAACACACAGCTACAGCCGTCATCAACCCTGGGGAACACGTTTATGTTGCAATTGCATGAATGAACATAACTGGTCAAACATTCGGAATAATCCCGTGAGGGATGAACGCAACGTGAAACATTGATTGCAACGATGTAGTTGAAATAAAACCCACGCTGCAGAGCAAAGAACCAAGGATTTAAACCAACTTGTTTACTCTTTTGTATTCACATCAATTAGCATGAGCAAAAAATCAGTGACATGACTTCCTACAAACCACGACTAGTGATGTCCTCGAAATTGATGATATATGGCTGCACACCATACCATTGTAAAATCATTTGAATATCCATTTGACTCGGGGTGCATGATAAGTACGCAAGATCGATAAAATGGCGTTATCCATGTTAACCTTATTCAAAGGTCCTGCTTGGTTTCGAGGTCAGGGTCGAAGTTCCCGACGTACTGGGCCAATCGTGCCCTTTCACCTGATACCGGCCCGTCGGCCCATGGCGTACCATCGTGCGTGATCTGCCAATGTCCAAGATGGCCTTGCGACCGATTTATAAGAGACTCCATCGATGTATATTTATGTCTGAACCGCGACGCAGTGTCTTCAATTGCATATCAATTTGAATCAAATCGAAAATAGTTATGTTTTTCAGAATTTGTGGTTAAATATCGAACTAGTTCATTTTGAATGTCATATTGACTCACTTTCCAGGAAATGTAGGTATCTGGCTTTCCAATGAACTGTTCCAAAACATCATGCTTCGCAAACTGTTTTCGTCGGATGAAGCTGAAAAATTAGGTTGCTGACATCATCGCGTATTTCCATCTGCTCCTTGTCCATATCAGTACACCATACTCTCTAAAACAAACAGAATGGTTCTTTGACAGTATAAATAAGCCAAAGAAGAGTGTCGTTCGATGATGTTCGACTTAATGCTAAACAAAACGTGAAAACTTTAACATGATTTGCAGCCACACATGAGTGTAAAGTCAATCTGTGTCCAGCCCCGCCCCCTCCCTCCCCCAGCTCCATGCGTGACGTAATGTGTGGGCGGCCAGTTAAAGCAAAAGGGTTGAGAACTTGCACATCAAACGGCCAAAGCATTTGGCCAGTCAGCTGATTAGCGTATTTTTGCCTAAACCAATTCATACCACGATGCGTTGTTAACGTGCGGGTACCCCATATTTTGTGTGGTGTCCATGAACTTGATAAGGTTCGGAAACAAAACCCAAACTTTAGTGTCGTTTCTCGAAGCATCGTCTATGGCATAACATTAGGTTTTCATTATGTCTTCATGGCAATTCCCAATCCTTGGACTGATTTGTCCCTGCGTGCAAAACACGCTTTAGTTCGTTCATTTGTCATGCATGGTGGTCACCCGCAATAGCACAGCGGGTCGTTTTTAAGCCTGTGCGCGCAGGAGGTCGTGAGTTTTTTTGGGGGGACCGGCGACTATCGCTTAGGCCGTGACGGCCAGACCGATAGTCGCCCGACTCTTATCATCGGACGCGTTGTAGTTGCCCGACCCTTATCATCGGACGCGTTGATTCGGCGCACATCCAAATGCCAGCTTCGAGGACAGTTCTCCGCGAGTCTGCAATTTGGGTGGCCAGGGACGGATGCACGGGGCCGTCCGCCGGTGGCAGCATGCTCACCGATGTGGAACGCGTTTTGCGATGCGGTCGGCTGGGAGGAAGCCACCCCAGACATAGACATATGGGTAGGTGGCGGGTAAGGGCGCCCAGCACTTGAGATATAAGTAAGTTATTGACTCGGTGTGTGCGTGAGCGCTGGCGTACATTTCACACCATCGGTGTCCGATTTGGTGAACTAGCGACTCCCGAACGCGCATGAGCTCACACTCCCATCGGGAACATGTGTGTTTATTCCAACGGGCGTCCTGTTGATTCCAAAACACATCCTGCGCGTGTACTTACCAAAATTACCGAGGATTTGAAAGTCAGCTACCAATCATATTGGAAATGGGATGGTAGCGAAAGATAGCCGGTACCTCTGCCGCTGGATGAATGTGGTGGAGCACCTTTACTTGAAAACGGGCAGACACACTTTTTATTTAACGATATTCTTTCAGCAGCCAAAATGCCTCGAACAGGTAGATTTTAGATTAGGATGGGTCTAGACAAGATTTAGAGTCAGAGATTTAGAACAGATTTGATGTCTAGAAATGAGTCTAGACAATGTCTTTAGGGTGCATTTTCTGCGAGAAATCAGCGCTATTTGCAATTTTTAAGGAAAAGGTGATAGACATGATCTCGAGAAGGAGCTATTGTCATCTATCATCATGTCATTCGTAAAAGATGTATCTCTCCTCTTTTTTATTTCCAAGAACCTAATGCAGTCAACGCGCCCTTAAAGCTCAACAACAAACGACAAACCCTCGATCGTAGGGCGAAGATCGATAACAAATGATGTTATCGGTGGTACGATATGCCTAAGTTATCTTTTTTCTTTTGTAGAACAGCATAACCTTCATCAGTAGTTTTTGGTGATTCACATAGTATCAGTACGAAAACAAAGTTAGACTTGACTTTAAGAATCGAAAATAACCGTTTGGTTTTGGCGCTTAAAGGATGTTGCAAGTAGTCAGTATTTGTAATCACTTGTATTTCCTGTTCATCACGTTGGGTGTTACGCGTTTGATAATAAGTGCTCGCCTTTGCGGTGAGTTACCACCCTTTTTGGCGCTGCCGTTGCTCTAATTGGACTTCTTGATTCTTTACAAGCCCTTGGCTCGAAGAAAATGACATATTGGTCCAAAAATCAAACTTAGGTGGTCTGAAACCTTTGAGATGTGATCGCTCGAATACGTGTTGAGATATTGGGCAGGGTCGCAGAGCCTTCAGCGAAACCCGGGAGTCACAAGCCGAAACGTTCACCTGAGGCGCAACTTTGGCAGCCATAGTTGGGCGCAGTGTCCAGATTTAAAGTTGACGCATGTTCAGGTCTACCTCGCCATCATCGAAACATAGCAAAATGAACAAGTTCAGTTATGCTGGAAATAATGCGCGGTTATGTTTGTGTGCCACGCATATCCCTAACATCCTATCTCTAACACGGTCATGCGGCCGATTTGTGCATGGATAATTACTAAGGCTGTGGTTGGAGATGGAGCCGAAGACGGCCTGGTGTAGAACGTGAGTACTATTGCCCAACGATGTGTGAGTACCAAGGGCCAGTTGAGGTAAAAATTACCTGTTAGAGAACAGGGGCACTTCTCCTTCTTGTTCGCCAGGCACAGTTTTCCCGTAAGGGAAGTAGATGTCTGCGCTCCTACTGTAGGTCATCGTCGTATTGAAGAAGTAGTCCAGTGGCCTCAGCCCAATGTACGTCAGCGTGGGAGGCTCGCGGAGCACGAACACGAAGCGCTGGTCTGCCCGCCTTCGCTTCGGCAGGTGCTTCGCGCTCATCGAGCGGCCGTGGAATAGAACGGCAGCTGCACTGTCGAGCATGGTCCGGTTGTTTGTCGTCACACAGTTGTTCACGGGGCACCCAACAAACGGCGCCGCGCCAAAGCCAAAGGAAAAGTCTGCACTACCGTAATTGGTGGTCCAGTACAGGATGACGTTTGACTTGGCCCGTCCGATGTGTTGGTCTGGTGTTGAGCTGCTCGGTGATGACGACGTCTTAAAATGGGTCGGACCCCTACTGCCCTCAGGTGACCCGGTCGTCACGGCGTGCTGCTCATTCGTGCTGTTTTGTTCACCGTTGGGCACCTTCCGCGAGGTGGTAGTGTTAGAAAAAGGCCGAATAGTAGAGAGCATTGTCCATGGTTTAACCTGTAGTTGTTGTGGAATTATTTGCAAATGAATTACAAAAACAGTTAGAGTCAGCATAAATGCAAGCCCACCAAATATGTACTTTCTTGGGCAAAGGTTTCTTGAGGAGGCGTATCTGGAACATAAGCATAGTGCTGTTAGCGCAACGAATGAAAAACAGATTCGAGAATCAGTACTGTTTAAAAACTCGGTCATCCAAACTATATTTGCTGAGTTGGACACGCAAGCAGTTGTGGCATACTATTCTGATTCAGTTGAATGCGTAGACTATTGTCGCATGTTCTGATTCCGATGCCGATTCAGATTTATGACAACGAAGATAAGGCAGATTTGAGGATCAGTTTTGTTTAAGGGACCCGGCTAACCAAAATATGTTTTTGTTTAATTTAATACAAAGACAGACGTGGTATGCTCTTATGATTCAGTTGACAAGATCAGAAGATGATTTGTTTTGCTTAGAGAAAAAGAGCGTTAAGAGGCGTAAACACAACTTAGCGTTGTACTAAATCTGCAATTTTGGGCCCGACATTTATCCAAATCTACCGTCATGTATAATACCAAGTATAATCCAGTAGTTGGTAATTACCGCCTAGTGTGATGCCTCCATTTTGCTATAGAATTCTTAAGAAAGAGCTGCATGGTCTGCCGAGATATTGTGTTGGTCTTTTTAATGCAGTAAGCTATGTACTTGTTTCCTAGGGCAGAGGCGAAAAGCAAAAAAAGGGGCAAAAGTGCGTGCACAGCCTGCACACACTACATTCTGCCACACACTACTTAGCACAGATCATGGATCTCTCCGTTCTGGGGCTCGTATAGGGAAAATATCAGGCCTCCAAAAGCTTAAATAAATAATATATATATATATATATATATATATATATATATATATATTTCATCCCCTTTTTTCTATCATCCATTTCCTAGTTACCATTGATAGGGACAGACACAACAACAGCGTGTCTTGTAAAACACTAGCTAGAAATTAATAACGAACATTTAGGCCAACAAACCGCTTGGAGTGTGTTTCCAATTCCTGAGCTTGAACTCCACACACAGCAAGTCTCCTGATGGTATTTGTACTCCGTGCACAGACTGAATTGTGTGATTCGAGCACTATAGCATGCCGACAAAAATTGGCCGAAATTTAGTGTTCAAGGGAATGTCCACATTTGAAGATATTCAGGCAAGCACCAAATATGATGATATGACGCCACTTATAAGTAATGGTAAAGTTTAAAATGGAAAAGACCACACGAGATAACACAATCTGTCTGGTAAATATGCTCCTCAATACGTCATTGTTTGATTACAGTTATCGTACCTTGTACGACGTTGACTGAGAGCCAATTCATGGCCGTTATGTTTGGAAATCTTGCCCACGAATGCCTGCTATGAACGGCCCGACAGTTATATTTTCCTTGGTTTTAATCACCGCATGGCTAGTATTATAACAAGGTTTCAATGACGTTGTTATGGCGTCATGTATACCTGGGTCACCTTAAGATGGTTTCCCCCAAAAGTGTGCATATTTTCGCGGGCTTGCTACTCATAAACTAGAAGAATTCTTAAGAAGGAAAGGGCCGTGAATTGCACCAAATGACGTTCAAGATGGTCATTTCAGTTCAAAGCCCCATATACATGTGGAACCCTCCTTTTTAAGACAGAAATAGTGTCTGATGTAAGAAGGAGTAGTTAGCAGCGTAAAATGGGCAGAGATGCATTTCCTACATTAAAATATTTCAAAATAGCACGCCGAGCTGCTATGTGCATTTCGGAAACACCCCCTGAACGAACGTTGAACGCTTCCTATTTAAGACGGTGTGTAAGATACGTATACTCTTGTTCGTGCTGTTTTACAAATCTTGAAACGAGATGCAAGGTACTTCTTGGTCTTATGTTCATAAAACTAACGCTCAAAAATGCGCCTATTTTCTTGAGGCGAGGTATGTTGCTCAGAGGCTTTTTCTTTTCGATATCCAGTATCAGGTCAACACCAGAGATTACGTCAGGTCAGCATGCAGACGCGGTGTGAAAATACGTTGTGCTGCGCAGACCGTTGTCCGTGTTTTGAAAATTGACCTATAAGCCTGACAGGCTTTCAAAAAAAACTGAACATCGGCCGAGTCGTAAACGGTAAAGGGAGTGTGCTACATTTGCATGGTGTTTTTAACTGAACTAACCATCTTGAAGATCATTCGGTGCAGCTCACGGCCCTGCCCTCATTAAGACGTAAACCCGGCTAGATCTTTAGCTACACGCCTGCGGGAATGTGCTGAGTGTCTCGGGAAACCTTTCTCAGAGTTCACAATGTAGTTGTCAAGTCGTTCATGTCTGGCGTTCGTGAGCACAATTTCCAAATATAAAGCCGCCAATTGGCTCAATCAGTGCTGAGCAAGGTACGATGGTGTAATCAAACGATAGCATATTGAGAAGCGTGCACACTAAACTAAGAAACTGCGTTGTCTACAGTAGTGGTATCCGCGTAAAAGTTTATCAATAGCTATAAGTGACCCCATGTCATTATATCTGATGCTTGCTTCAAATTCGAACAACGTGAAACACTCACTTAAAAAACGATCATGCGGTTGGAAATATTTTAGAAATTCGTACACGATGACCTGAGCTCGGCCTGACATGACTCTGGGTTGCCTCTGGCGTCGACCTGGAAACACTGTGATGTGCTTCTGCCACGGGTGAAGGAAATCTTTCCTGGGTGCTTTTTTTGGTGTGTTTCGAGGGTGCACAGCCATTAATGCATATGCCACGGGCTGAAAGCACCAAATAAATTCGAGTGTTTCTGAGTTATTTTACGCGACCTCTGCCGTGACGAACCATGACAGTTGCCAGTGCTATGCCATCTGTGCGAAATGACCAGCGCTATCGAAACCCATTTGAAATGTCTGACTGCTAAATTGATGCTCAAATTTTTGACAGTTGCCGATCACGTGTTGGGATTGCCAACGTCACATTGCTGTGATCAAGAGATGCATTGCCTCAGGCAGTTTCGTCGGTGAATGCCCCGGACAGTGGCGGGGTAAGGTCATGACACAGTACCTCGGCGAGTCCATGACCGCAACAGTATCGGTGAACACGAGCTGGAGCGCCGCAGTCTGCCGCGTGGAGGGCTCCGCTCAACTGCCGCTGCAAAAGAACACGGACGAAACATTCAGGGGAAGTGGTGGCAACAGAACTGCATGCTTTTCGATGCAGACTGAAACTGCGCCGAGAACAAAAAATGCTCTAAGCAATGCTCCACGTTTCCAATAAACCGATTGGATTCCTAGCTTAGTACCTCCCATACCAGCTGCACGTTTCTCGGAGCCTAGCGTCTCGGAGCTTCTCCTGCAGAGTTATCAGGATGAAATATCTAATCGTGAGGTGTTATGAGACTGCAGCTGATGACCACATGATGGCAAACAAAGTCAGCGCCTCTCCGGGCTCTGATTTTTGCGGCTTTTGCCGTTCAGGCATTTCTCCGTAGCAGTGTGATTGAAGCAGACAGTTGTGGCATATGTTACCCACATGAACCAATCGCAGTCACCAAAAAGGTTTTTTATAATTGATTGTTGGTTCACAGTAAAATCAGTCCGAAAACCTTTTCTCGTGCATACTTGGTGAGCTCAGGGACATTTGGGTTCCTTACCTCCACCGAGATGTTGTCAAAATATATATAATAGCGATTCTACCTCACACTCCGCCGGACGAAAAAAAAACACTCTCTATGAACGCTTTGGCGAACAGCACACCCGGTGCTGGTCCCAGAGCGATGTCATCTGTTCAGTAGTGGATCTTGCCCTGTGGGTGCTTCACTGCTTTTTTCGTGCACGGTATAAGCACTGTGCGCATGGCATGTATAGAAACATCTGGTGCTAGCAAGGTAGCGTGATAGGCCACATACCTCGGGTTGATGGTTCTCTTTTAATTGACCTGCATTCGTTTCAGGCGTATGGGCCCAATCAGAGTATTTCACGCGTTACATTTTATTTCGTATAAGGACTGTAGTTTTTGAAGGTTTAGACAATACCGGCAGCGTGGAGACGTTAATGTTGGGGGATGACAGTCTCACGACCGCCAGCATGTGCCTGGTCTTAGAAACTATCTCCGCCGTCTGCACGTTGAACATGAGCCTGCATGAGCTTCCACGATAATTCCAAGGTCCTTTTTAGTGGGCACGACTGCGATTTTGGTGCCATGCAGGAAGTAGGTCAGTCGCGTTCTTAAAGTGCTGACGTGCATTACTTTACACATGGATGCGTTGAATGGGAGCAATCGTACTCCTCCGATCATTTGACTAGGCCATTGAGGTCAACCTGGAGAGGAAAAGCAGCCGGCGTCCTCGGAACACGATAGTACACCTTAGTATCATCCGCAGATACATTGATCGCGCATCGCGTTTCTGGCAAATCGTTGACAAAAGTAATGAACAGGATTGGTCCCAGCACCAACCCTTGCGGGGTACCGCTGGCGGTGTTGGTCCAGTCGGACCTCGAGCCATGGACCCGCACTCGCTGCTCCTAGTTGGAAGCAGTTACAACTTTTTACAACTTAACGTACAACTTTAAAGAGCTACGACATTTTGCAGCCCGGTTATTGTCCAGATTCTATTTCTATGCATTGAACTGTCTACCAACATCTGCAAACTGGCATGCTTTATCACCGATTTGACATGGCAAAGAAAGATAAGCCCCTTTCACACTAGCAGTATTACACAGCAGATTTGTGTTTTACTCAATTATTTTTAGCCAGGTCAGGATCGGCTCACAGATTTTAAAATCCGGTTCCGCATGCAATGACTCATATTTATTGAAATTTTTTCTCTAACTCAGTTCAGATTTATTGCTAGCATTGATTCACTTCACGCACGACTCACGCAGCTTGCAACATCAAAGATCTGATCAAAATCAAAGATCTGATCAAAATCAAAGATCTGATCAAAATCAAAGATCCGATTAGCTCGCGGCGTGCCTGGGACAGAGCCCAAAAGTAAGGTTTGTGGCGATTAAATATCGTTTTCCCCATCTGTGTTTCGCCTTATGCCAGGACATGCAGGTGGGATGTTCTGTATTGCCTGTAGCGTGAGTATTATGCTTACCCACCGGATGTTTGGGCAAGGGCAATAAGAGCTCTCCCAAGTCTGGTTTGGGACGATTGTCCAAGAGATTAAGTGCTCGGTCTCTTGTGTCTCAGTCTTAGCACCTGTGTTTTGGGATGCTTGATTCTTGTTGTCGCTAGCCTGCCCAGCACGTCGTTGTAGCTGGGTAGACAGTTTCGTAGCAAAGGTGAAACAGTGTTTATGATAGGGTGCAGGTGGGCTTACATTAACATACTCATTATTTTGGCACAACGTACTGTGTGCTATTGCCATAAGATCCCATGCCAGTGTAATGATTACCTTCACTTTCCATCAATGCAAACTGGAGGACCAAAGCGTCTTGAGCTGAATATGTGATATCATAGCTTGCAAAAAGTGTCTGACATGACTCAAACTTGAAGTCATTTAAAGGAAATACATCACGTTTGAAGATATTGAAGCAAGCATCAGGTGTGATGACACAAGCGTTTAACTAAGAAACCAGAGGGGCTTAGGTCTTAAAAAGGGCAGGATTGAGAACAGCACCAAAAGGCATTCAAGATGGCTGTTTCACTTCAAAATGTATATATATATATATATATATATATATATATGACGTAGAGGGAGGTATATATATACATATATATATATATATATATATATATATATATATTCCGCATTAACAAGCTTCTTCATGCCTCTTTCAAGGTTCCGGGCTTTCCATTTAGCAATATCGTTAAGGTAAAGAATTGCTTGTACAAAATCACACATGTACTCGTCGACATCGACGAATTCTAGCGTTTTGAGACCTTATCTCATCGTTGAAGAGATGTACATCAAGGCCGTGTAATAGAGCATGATCATCCGGGGATTTTTCGGCACTTCTCCTTCACTTTTAGAGTGACGTTACAAAGTCGCAGCTTGGCCAAGCACCAACGCCTGCATTTCCGTCGTGTTTGCCATTACCCGCATATCTACCAGTATCCTTATCTAGTTCTCGCCACAGGACACTTCAGAAAGTCCTATGAGGAGACATGGAACGGGGATTTTTTGCCACACTGGGTGTATAATAGCGAACATAGGCGTAGGAACTGGGTGCAGCCCGTATGCCATGGCAACCTTGTCTGAGAATGTCAAACATGAAGTATATGACCATCCATTGCAGTTGGCCGGCCTACATCTGCTCACATCCAGCCTGGTACACCTGCCCGAAGTAAAGCTGTTGCCAGAGGAGAAGCTGAGCGGCACCAGCATCATCATCTGTACTGCCGTGCTTAACCTCAGCACTGTGTATGGTGACGCGCCGGGTCGCACTGGTGCGCGATTGAGGTAGTTTGAGGAGACAGAGGTGGTGTGCTGCCTTATGCCTGGTAAGAAATAAAGCATCGGGGACATTGCAGTGTTTCATATTGCGTCAACTATGCCACGAAGCCTCCGAAGGTCATGGCGCATAGCGCCAATTAATATTAGATCCGTCACGACATCCCGCCAACTCGTCGTGCACACGTTTGACTCATAATTCACTGTGCCTTGCTGAAAACGATTATTGGACACAACATATACTTCACTGTACACACTTCACGAGAACACCAAGCAAACGGGGGGGACGGAAAACATATTCATGCACTCTTTAGCTTAAATTTAGGGTTATGCGACATGATAAACCCGTCTAAAATAGCCCAAACGTTTCTCTGCGAAGGAACCATCTACGCCTCAGACAGACACTTATGCGTACAAAATAAAAAATAAGGGTATAACGATATTCACATCACAGTGTCCAAGAGCTGTCGCACCTGTTTAGCTGCGCGCATGGCAGCAGCCCGCTCAGCCCTAGCCTGATTAAGCCATTTGAAGCGGAGATGGATGCGCGTCGTCACCAGGCTCCGAGCGATCAGCTTGCTCAGCGCGGAGCGTTTTTCCAGCAACAGCTTCGTGAGGCGGCCAACGATACCGATGTCTTAGTCCATGCCTCGGCCCACCACTGGCTAGAACACGACCTCGAAAGCCTTAACTACGCTCATACAGACCGGTGCCGGTACCATCAGACCACACCTACTGAACGTGTGTATCCAGCTGTCTGTCACACAGCTGGATGACACCTCTCGGGTCGACAGCCCCGTGCTTGGGTCGAGGTGTTTGTACTTGGGCACCGCGAACCCGGCTGCGAAAATCGTTCGATGTTAAAGGAAGCGTTCTACGTTTGCATGGGGTTTGAACTGAAATAGCCATCTTGGAGATCAATCGGTGCATTTCTACCCAGGCTGGCATGACATAATGGTGTCATTCAAATACTGCCACCACGTTGGTCCCGAAATAGTCCCCTCCCCATTTTCGCAAGTGTGTGGCTCAAAAACGAGAGGGGTTTAGGCCTTAAGGAGGACTCTTCAAGCTGGCTATTCCTGCTCTAAGCCTCATAAAAATGTGAAACACTCCCTTTCATGAGAAGGTCCTATTCGCGCATGTATATTGCTTCTAGAGCGATAAGTCCTCGTCCCTGTGTGAAGACTTGTCACTCTAGAAGCAAACCACATCTGCGAATGGGATCCTCTCATTAACGAACAAAACAATGCGTGTGGAACTCTCCATCTGTGCGGAGGGACACCATTAGGGCGGAGAGCGCAGAGGCATTGAGTGCTTTACGTGTTGCGAATGAGCGCTGTTGCCTGCCAGTGATGAGTATGTGTAATACGTAGATGCTCACGTCTGTCCTGTGATATATGTGTGGTATGTTTGTGCTGTACCGGTATGGCAAAAAGCTGATGTGTGCAAACGTGAGAGCCATGTTAGAATAGGCACGAGAGAATTTGGATTTTACGATGGCGCGATTACATCGACTTCGTTTAAAACAATTAATCTAGAAAAGGTCCAACGGCGGATGGGACGTTGAGAATATATCTAATGAAGTTTATTAATGAGTTGATAGTTTATTATAAGGTTATAAATTTCATTTTACGTTTATTAATTAATTGTAACTAAATAATAAGCTAAGCAAAGAAGATGCATGCACCCTGAAGCTACGTTTCTGACCCATTGCAATTCTACTTAGGCACATTTTGATAGAAGTACGTCG